TATATATATATATATATATATATATATATATATATATATATATATATAATATATTTAATATATATGTAAATACATCGACTGACAAATAGGGATTGGCGCAATTAAATGTACATACATTGACTGACAAATAGGGATTGGCGCAATTAAATGTACATGGTTAGGGTCAGGGTTAGGGTTTGGGTCAGAATCAGTTAAAAATTCATGGGTTTTGCTTTAAATAGTTTTTCTTTAAAGTGTTAATAAAAAACTGGGCTGCTTTTATGTTAACTAAGAAAAAGAATCTAATCACATTTGTGTATAAAGAAATTAGAGTGCTTTCCTCAAATTTTCAGGTCAATTTTTTTATACGATTTTTAATCAACATGAAATTCTCTATCGAAATCAATCATAAAATGATAGGGGTAGGCAACTGAAACAGTGCCATATTTTGTAAGTGTAAATATCTTTTATATATGAGTGGTCTATGTTTGTGATATAATGTTATTTAATTATAGTTTGTAAGTGGTTATTATGTTGTTTGCATGGTTTTAAATTGTTGTGATTTGGCTTAGTTTACAGCAAGAGTGTTGACCTTGCTAACCAAGCAGTGTACTTTGCTGTAATGTGACTTGGCTTTGTTGGGAGCAAGATTGTTGTCCATGCCAGTTAAGTGGTGTTAAATCTGTTAGTATTTAGTGCAGTCATAAAAAATGTTGAAAAAATATTGTTGAAAGAATGTGTTTATAAGAAATGTTAAAAAGATATATAGTTTTTTAATATCTATAATTTTTTTAATATTTATAATTTTAAGTAAATTTTATTGAATAGATTTATACTTCATAAGATATTTTTTATGCTGTTACTTTTTGGGTAAATTTATTTAAAAGATATATACTCTCTTCTTTTTTGTTAACAATTAATGCTTTTTATGATAAACTTTGTTAAAAAAACTGACTTCCTTTTTACAAATATCTCCCACCCCCCCACCCCACCCCCCATTTAAACATTTAGAGTCTTTATTTCTTTCATTAAATATGTTTAACTTGAATTTATTGTTTGTTTTTTTATAAAGGTATGTGTACAAAGTGTTACATAAATTTTAGTAACTTTCATTAAATTTTTAGGATTTTTCGTATAGAGAATTTTATCTCCATATTAATATTTTAATGTTATATATATTGAATGCTTTTCTTTAGAATATTAAATATATATGAAAAAATTAAAACAGTTTAAGAAGTTTCAGTATTTTCAAGTTTCTTCACTTAAAGCAAATATGTGGTTGTCTATAGAGGTTTCCTATTAATAGTTTTGTATTTACTTATTAATTGCAAATCTTGCATTAAATGCCTTTTAAATAATGAAAGGGATTTTTTGATTAAAACTTTTGACTACATTTCACCATTCAATGCTGAGCAGTATTTGCTGAGCAGACAGCCCTTATAATTTTTTTAATTTGCTTTATTAATGAGCTCTTATCTGTAAAAATTTTGTAACTTTTATTAATTACTTTTTGTTTTTTTGATCAAATACTAATAATATTTTGTTGATAATTATTAATAACTACATAAAATACATAACATTACTCATTACTTATATTAATTTATTTATAACTTTAGTTTAAATTCTTGATAGAAATATGTTATCTTTACCTATTGCTATATTATTTTATAACATCTTATTTAAATACGACTATTAGTAGAGGTAGAATATAATTAGATAATTATATTATACTCTATATATATATTATATATATATTTATTAGAGGTAGAATATAATTAGAATATAATTAGATTATTATATTATACTCTGTTTTATTTGCTAACACTTTTAATAAGTTTAAGAAAAAAAACTAAAAGTTTAATCTTGAAATAAAAGTGCAACTTTTATTATATTAAGCATCATTTTTACACACTTCTTTGGTGCTTAGTTATGTCTGATAATTAAAGAAGAATATTATAAGGCTTCATTGAAATTAAAGAAACCAGGCTATGAAAAATGAATTTAAGTGTCGCCAAAATGAAAGAGATGAGCTTAGGCTAGCTGAGGTAAATTGTAGTTGAAATGAAAGAGATTTTGAAATGAAAGTTGTATGAAAGGTTTTCATACAACCAATTCTATGTAACATATTCTAAAACCAAGTCATTTGCATTACACATGCATAACAAGTCATTTGCATAACATTTGCATATACACATGCATAATCAAGGTATGGCATTGAATGAAAATTATACAGATGTTTTTTTGTAAATGTTCTTAATATATAGATTTTGATAAGTATTTTTATGTCATATGATGTGGCAATGTGTGTTTTTATTATGTGTTATATAAGACTATATAGGTTTATATTTTGTTAATATTTTAATGTGTGTGCTGTTAGTAGTTAAAATATGAACAATAAACTCTGAATAACTCAATAATTCTTAACTTAAACTAATTTTAAAATTTTATTTGAGCCTTTTTTTATGGATTATACTGCCAATAGCTCTAGTATTCTCTAACAAGCTAATTTCTTGGTCCTCTTCAAGGTTTGAGTAATTTAAAGTTTACTGTAATATGTTATGTTATTTGTTAGTTTTGTGATGTTGTTGTTGTGTTGTTGTTGTGATGATAGATTAGATAACATGACTTTCACGATGGGGTCTTTAATTTAAAATGATTATTTGGTAGTTTCATTACTGAAACTGACTACATATAATCATTCACTAAAAGCTAGATTCAGTTTTCAAATAAAACAAAAGTATATCTTATTGTGATCATTTATTTTAGCCTTGCTTTTTAAAAAAAAGTTGTTAATCCAAACTTGCAACAATAAATCTTGAAACTTTCACATAAGATAAACAACCTCACAAAGTAAGTTTCTCATTTGTTTTCTGTTTAGTCACATTTTTGAGTTTTCAAATAAATAAATAGAGTACATAACAAATTAATGTGTATTAAGTGTATTCAATAATAATTTTGTTCCATTTTTAGGTTGAATTCCTTCTCCTATGACTGATTATGAAAGTTCCTACATAGCAGAATTTAAGAAATGTTCTGAATATTGATTGTATTCAAAAAGCTAAAACAAAGCTTGATAATCTTCATACCATTTACTAAAAGATATATAATAATAAAAGAATGTTTCAAATTAAATTGTTTTTATAAGTATTTTTGATAGCCTAAGTATATATAATGGTATTCAATATATTTTATTTAAATTGGACTGTTTTCTTTTAAATTAATTATAATTTGACAAGGAATAGATTTATGGATGGCAAAAAAAGTTAGCACTTTATCAACTACCAGAACATTAGATTGATTGATTTTTTGCTGTTTACTAAAAGTGTTAAGACTAAATAAGGAACAAGTTTAGAAATAGTTGGGTGTGGATTAGACTTACCACAACCCCCATCGTACGGGTCATGACAGCTAGTATTGACTAAAACAAGTTCTCTGAGTTGTTTCACAATGTTTGTTGAATTTGGTCTCACAGAATTTTCAACCAAAGTGAGGGTTTTTCGAATGATCATTGGAATTGTTCTTCATTTTCACCATGAACTTGGCAAACTTTTAAGTACTCTATGCCTTTTAATTCTCCCCAGAGATTTAAAAGGCATAGAGTTCTTTTCAATTATGTGTTTATTTTCAATCATTCGAACAGAACGAATGATTGAAAATAAACACATTTTTTAATCAATAACATTGCTGCACAAAAAAAATAGGTTGTTTTTAATTAACAACAATGGTGCACAGAAAAACAGGTTGAGCATGGTACTTTCAGAAGTGTAAGATCAATTTGAAACTCAAAACTCTTAATAGGTCAACCACTAAGTACATTATAAAAAATATTTATATTAGAAGCAACTAAACTCCATAGGGAATATACCGCATGACTTGTCATTATGTACTATTATGTAAAAACTTAAGATCTGTAATATAAATATATACTTTTTAAGGTCTGTAATATAAATATATTATAATTATGCGGAAGTAGAGTAGATGTAGAACATTCTGCTAAAAATTATGAAGTTCCAGGTTTAAACCCACCCTACGCCTTTGGAAGTACATGCTTAATTTGTTTCTCTGCACAACGACTTTGAATAACAAGGTTAATTTTAATCTTTGATTAAGGTTAATTTCAGAGTTAAGTATCCTTTGGGAGGTAACTTAATTTTAAAAAATAATACAATAATAAAAACATACAATTTATCATATTATTTGTGTCAATAGTATTATTAAAAGAATCACTAAGTACAATCAAAAATTTACTAAAACAGATTAAAAATTTACAACTGAAAAAATTTTTAAAAGAGACAAATTTAAAAAATTCAAATTTGATTGTGACTTAAATCTTTGGACAAAAAGTTTATAAATTTTACATAAACAAAACAATATTATTTAAAAATTAATAACTTACTACAAATCCAATTAAATATTTAAGTTTATATATTTTTTTATTTTTTTTAATTTTTTTATTGTTATTATTGTTGAGTACTGTTTTGGTTGTATAGCCTGTCTTATTTATTTTTAAATATTCCTCTATTAATCTTTATTTTTGTCTTGACAACTGTCAAAATATGCTTTGTCTAATAAACAATTCAATTCAAAAAGTTTATAAATTTTATTAAACATAAACAAAACGATATTATTTAAAAATTAACAACTTACTACAAATCCAATTAAATATTAACTAATAATATAATAAAAACTTCAAGATATAATATGATACAAATCAAAACTTATACAAAACTGTTGTCTTAAAAATGATTTCCTATTTGAATTAAAACATATCAGCTAATGCAACTTAATTTGTAACTTTAACTACATCCCCAACTTTAAAACTTCAAAATATAATTAACAAAACTTTATTTTTATTCTCTTTAAAATAATAGAAACATGTCACAATGCTTAGAGATCCTTAAAGTCAAAAGAAAAATAAACATTGAACTAAAAATGATATGATATGGTATATGGTACCATTGACACTATAGCATTATGATTTGAAATGCCTTGTTTTAACAATAAAGAAAAATTAAACATACTGTCAAAGGTTATCTTTTCACTGATGTTTTTTGATTTAATATGGGCTTCTTGATTTGCAATTAGTACATTTTCATTATTTAATACCCATTTGTATTCTTTCAAAAGATCTGAAAACTCAGTTTCTAAACAAACAAAAAACAATTTGATCATAAATTCAAAATGATCAATTTATATTTATAAATTCAAAATAATTAATGTAAACACTAAAACATAAAGTAACCATGTCACTTAATGTTTTATTGAAGAAAAAACTTAGTAAAAAAAATAGTTAAAAAAAATCATTGAAAAAAATCAATTATCTGGTGCTGGAGGGCACTAGACTTAAGTTAATTTTCTAGTAACAAAATTTTGTGTTAATAGAAATCAAATCTATCCTTAAACAAAAAAACTTATTACCAGTAGGAAAACCAAGTAACTGCAGTAATAATTCTTTAGCTATACTTTCATAAGTTATCTGAAGAACTGATACTATAACTAAAAATATATTTTTAAAAATTACAACAAAAAATTAAAAAAATTATAAAAACTTACATTTACATAAGAAATTTACATAAGAAAATCTTACAACTACGAATAGATTCTTTGAAACCAGTAATGCCTTCTATTAGATCATCACAATTTTTTAGTTCTGCCTAAAAAAAAATGATGTCTACTTTTTTATTATTGCTTAATTTTTTAAAAGAAGAAAATACAAATACAAATACTATACAAATAAAAAGTGTTTTAAGTTTTTTTTTTCAACTGTCTTTTAACCATTAAAACAAGTTTTTTTTTTTACAAAAACATATTGAGCTTTACCAAAATGGCTTCTTAAAACAAATACCATAATTCCTTTAAATGAAATTTTAAATCATAATATAACTCAACTACATTATGTCACCTATTATGTCATTTTTCTGTAAAAAAAAAAAAAAATTGTTTTAGTAATATAAAAGTTTTTTGAGCTTTTAAAACTCACAAGGTCTTTATTTGATTATAACAAGCTTATTTATTTTTTTTCAATTTAAATGTTTATTTATCATTTCTGTTCGCTTTATTGATAGGCGCTTTGGTTTCAAAAAAGTTAAAAGGAGCTGAGCTGTAATTATTTTGAATTTATTGTTATTGATTTTTTATCAATTTAAAAAAAAATGAGTGTCAATGGCGCTAATAAAATTTTGCTCACATCTTTATACTTTAATTTTATGCTGTTAATTTTTGATTTTTTTAAGTCTCTCAGTTGTCAAAAAGTAGGTTCCATTTTAAAAATTTTATTTCATTTTTGAAGCATATGATTCAATTTGTGTCTTTGGTAAAATAAGTTGAATTTCAAGATCAAGAGAAAGTGACCTTGAAAATGTGCAGTAACACAATTTATCTATAATGAAGTCTATGATAACTGAAAAATAAAATAACATAAAAATAAAATTAAAAATGAAAATGATAACTGACTTTTTTGCTGTTAAGAATTTTCTTATAACTGATTTTTGATTGATTTTTTTGCTGTTAAGAATATAAATCTTCATTGTTTTTATCATTGTGTTTTTATCATTTTTAAGTTGAAACATTTGAGAGGATATTTTGTTATTTTGATTATAATCTCTTTGTAAGGGTTTTATATATTTGTAATGTAATGGGAATTACTTAGATTAGTAGGGTTTTTTTTTCACTTTATTGGAACAAAGATTAAGTATAAATTTACTTAAGTATAATGATTACTATATTACAAGTATTACTTATAGAATTAATAACCACTTTAAGTTAACTTTATTAAGTACTACTATTATATATTTATTTATTTAGAAAGACGTTTAAAAAGACGCTTTTAAAGATATATCATCTTCTTTGATTAGAAAAATTATAAATTTTATGACAAATTTGTTTTCAATAGAAAAAAACTGATTTTTTTTTTTTTTCTTCCACTGTAGAGTACTGTTTTTTTACTTCCTAGTACTTTACTGTAGAGTAGTGTTTTTTTACTTCACCTTACTACAGTGGTTAGGTCAAACTCAGAACTTCTTGCTTACAAAAACGATTTTGAATTTTTTATTTTATGCAATAGATGTCACAATTGCCTACTTTTACATATTAAAGTTGCCATTTATTGGCAAAGATGGTGCTCTGTCTGTTTCCAGGAAAAAGTTGTTTACCCAAGAGACCATTCTTTAAAAACTATATCAAGCATATTAGATCCTATGGTTTATTCACTATTTTTTCTGAGATAATGAAGGTAACAAAATCAATCAATCAGTGCACAACTTTGAACATGCTACACTGGTTAGGTATTACGTTGCAATCATTTTGGTTACAATATCTAAATTTTATACCTTTCAGTAAGACAAATTTGATCTTAAAGCTGAGATTATTCCATCAAAATGCTTATAAAGCATATGTCAGATTTGTAAAACATAATAGGATTATAACATTAAAAAAAAATATTTCAAATAGATCTGCTCAAAAATATATAATCATTTCAAAATACATATCATTATGACTTATAACTTTTATTTTTTAAAAATATTTATGTTTTTGAATGTTTTGAAAGAGGCCATTAGTGATAAAAACATACTTAAATTTTATTGAAATTTAGTAATAAAACAAACATTTGTTCATCATCTTATTACAAATCTTTTAATTATTCATTTTTTATTCATATTAGAAAAATGTCTTTAATAAAAACAATTAGGGATTGTTCATAAATTACCATAAGTAAGAGGTCTTAGGCTCATAAGTAGGAGTAGGAGGTCTTAGGCTCTTTTACCCAGTGATTTTCATTAAACTTTGCTATTTTGATATTTCTATTAACTTAAGGCTCTGCGAGGGTAAACTTCTGATTTTTTTGTTTTGTTTTTTAGTAAAATTTAGTGTAGCGTAATTTATGGACGACCCATTATTTTAAAAAACTGTGATTAAAAAAACTTTACTTTATTCTTAAAAAAAACAAAAAGTTTTAAGCAATAAAACTTAAAATAATAATCTATATACCAAATAGTTATAATTTAACTTTTATATAACTTTGTTTATTTTGAAGTTAACAAACATTTTAAAAAATAATATTATAATACTAGAGTCAAATGTTTAAAGGTCTTAAGTTACTCCCTGAAAATAGTTTTAATAAGAAATTTTGTTGGTGTCTATTATATAGAACATATATGGGGGAGGGGGAGGTAAAAAAAAGACTTCTCCAAAATTTTATTTTAGGTACTACCTTAATAAATAGGTTACTCTTGTAAAGGTTAAATTTGCCTTGTTTAGTTAACCTTGTCTTGTTAAGTTAACCTTGCATTTTGTATACTAATGTAGTTGAGTAAAGCCAAGGTGATAAAAAGAAAAAACTGATACAAATTATACTTTTTAATGATTTCTTACCCAAAACTGTTGAAATTCGCAAGTTTCAAGCAAATTTGATAACTCAATTACTTTGTTTACATTTTCACAGGATTGCTTTAATTTAATGTTAATTTATGAAAATAATTTATGAAAAAAACAGAAAATAGTATGAATATAATTTTTTATAAATTACATTTAATTCTAATAACTTTATAAACATTTTACTGTTATTTACAATTATTAAAAAGTTTATATTGCTTTAAAGTAAGTAAAAATTTTCTTATTTAAAACTGTATGTAAAGTGAAAAGATACATGTTGTTCAATGATAAGACATTTACATAAAACAAAATCTGTGTGTGGGAGATTCATGAGTGACTTTAGCAAAATTTGACAAGTAACTGTTTCTTTAAATTCATTTGGATTGAACTGATACCTGTTTTTAAAAAAAAACTTCAAAGAGTTAGAAATAATAGTCTTTGTAGAGTATATTTATCAACATCACTTTTTTAGGGTTGTTTTGTGCTTGCATGAGTTTGAGATATTATATAAAGTATATATATAGATAATAAAAACTAAATGAAATTTTAATTTAGTAATTTTTTTAAACAATTTTTCCATAAGTTGTCCATATCAAGATTGTACTTACCTAAACCCTCAGTTGAGATTGGGCATGTAGTATGACATCAACAATTTCTTGCCAAGTAAAGTACATAAACAAGGCTCATATTAAGTGATCGCGAATTGCGATATCTGGAAATGCTTTCGGTCTTTAAATGTTTAGCTTTTTAAAAACCATAAACTGTTTTTATCAATAGCTGTTTTAATATATAAGATATTTATATTAATCTTGAACTATGATATAAAACCTCATTATAATACCATATTATTACTATTATTTTTATTATTATTAAAAATTATGATTTAGACTTTAATATTTTAATTCATTTTATAAATCATCAGATAAAACTAGAAAAATAAAGCGCAATAAAGTACGATGTAAATATTGAAAAAAAACTGCTAATCACAACAGCTTAAAGGAATTTAAGTGGGATTAAATATTTTAAATAAAAGAAATCGTAAAATAAGATATAAAACACTTTTAAATCTTATTCAAAATTTTCTTATAAATTCAATGTTTGTAACTCTTTAGCAGATATGTATACAAAATTGAAGATAGAGGAGTTTAAAAATATTTAACAACTAATTTAAACTATCTATTGTTATTTTAAAATTCTAAGAACTTATTTTAAAATATAAAAGCTAAACAGTTTAGCTTAGTGTTTTTTAAGTCTTTTTTTTTCAAGTCTGAAAACTATGAAAAAACTAAAAATGAAAACAATTCCTCACTAAAAAGAAAATATATACAGTATCAGACAAAACAAGTGCAACCAAATAATGCTAATTTAGTTTCTTTACATAAAAGTGCTGAATTTTTTCAATTTAGAGAAATAACTATGTAACTGTTTAGAGACAACATACTTCAAGTTTTATTCATCACAAAGTTCATTATTTGCACACGAAAATTAATAAATTAATCAAAAGTATTAAAAAAGTTGATTTCCTTCTGGACAAAACAAGTGCAACTCCACAAAATGTTGACCAAGCTGTATTTTGCTATCAATATTTCGTGGCAAATCCTTTGTTGTCGATCGCAGCCTTGCATCTTCAAGGCATAGGTTCAATCAGGTGATCAATGAAACTTTGTGGAATCGCTGCCCAGGCCTTTTGGATTTGTTCAAACAGTTGATCTTTATTACAAACACCTTCGCGATAAATTCTGCGGTTGACGATCTCCCACAGCTTCTCGATAGAGTTGAGATCCGGAGATTAAGGCAGCCAATCCATAACCAATAGGTGGTTGTCTTGAAACCATTGCTTGACTACTTTTGCAGTTTCGGATCGTTGTCTTGCTGAAAAACCCATTTTATTGGCATATTCCATTCAGCATGAGGTAACATAACATCTTTCAGGATATTTTTATACATGAAACAGTCCATTATTCCATCGTTTCAATGTATTGGACGTAGACCATTAGCAGAAAAACACCCCCAGACCATTACATTGCCTCCACCATGCTACACTGTCTTATAGCAGTAACGTAAATCAAAGCATTTTCTGGCCGGTCAACGTACATGGCAAATGCCATCACTCTCAATGATGTTAAACTTTGATTCATCACTAAACAGGACAGTTCGCCATTTCTGCACATTTCAGTCAATATGAGATATTTGATATTTGGAACATAGTCTTGATACAGTATATTTTTTCACGCGATATTTATCACAAATACTTTTTTGTGATATTCCACTTACTTAATCGCCAATAATTTTCTTTCTTAGTTCCAATCCAAGACTGTCGGGAGTCATTTTTGCACTTGAAGTCATAAAAATAATAAAAATAAATAATCACGCTTTTCAAGGCTTACCATGTTACATTACCTTGTGATGATACAATAATGCTTTGTAAAACACAACGTCTTGGTTGGATGTCGACTGTATTGATGTAATGAAACACTTGTTGTATTTCACTTCTTCTTTTTGATAAAACACTTTGATAAAACTCACTTCGATAAACTGTCTTGATAATACTGACTGATTGACTTCCATATACTGACTGAATTACATGTCAGTTTACATGTCTCTTATATAGTAAAATGAACCTGTGTGAATCTGTTCTGGATGCTTCTGGATGCTTCCAGTTGCTTCTGGATGCTTCCAGATGCTTCTGGATGCTTCCAGATGCTTCTGGATGCTTCCAGATGCTTCTGGATGCTTCCAGATGCTTCTGGATGCTTCCAGATGCTTCTGGATGCTTCCAGATGCTTCTGGATGCTTCCAGATGCTTCTGGATGCTTCCAGATGCTTCTGGATGCTTCCAGATGCTTCTGGATGCTTCCAGATGCTTCTGGATGCTTCCAGATGCTTCTGGATGCTTCCAGATGCTTCTGGATGCTTCCAGATGCTTCTGGATGCTTCCAGATGCTTCTGGATGCTTCCAGATGCTTCTGGATGCTTCCAGATGCTTCTGGATGCTTCCAGATGCTTCTGGATGCTTCCAGATGCTTCTGGATGCTTCCAGATGCTTCTGGATGCTTCCAGATGCTTCTGGATGCTTCCAGATGCTTCTGGATGCTTCCAGATGCTTCTGGATGCTTCCAGATGCTTCTGGATGCTTCCAGATGCTTCTGGATGCTTCCAGATGCTTCTGGATGCTTCCAGATGCTTCTGGATGCTTCCAGATGCTTCTGGATGCTTCCAGATGCTTCTGGATGCTTCCAGATGCTTCTGGATGCTTCCAGATGCTTCTGGATGCTTCCAGATGCTTCTGGATGCTTCCAGATGCTTCTGGATGCTTCCAGATGCTTCTGGATGCTTCCAGATGCTTCTGGATGCTTCCAGATGCTTCTGGATGCTTCCAGATGCTTCTGGATGCTTCCAGATGCTTCTGGATGCTTCCAGATGCTTCTGGATGCTTCCAGATGCTTCTGGATGCTTCCAGATGCTTCTGGATGCTTCCAGATGCTTCTGGATGCTTCCAGATGCTTCCAGATGCTTCTGGATGCTTCCAGATGCTTCTGGATGCTTCCAGATGCTTCTGGATGCTTCCAGATGCTTCCAGATGCTTTTGGATGCTTCCAGATGCTTCTGGATGCTTCCAGATGCTTCTGGATGCTTCCAGATGCTTCTGGATGCTTCCAGATGCTTCCAGATGCTTCTGGATGCTTCCAGATGCTTCTTCTGGAAACTTCTGGAAGCTTCTGCATGCTCTGGAAACTTCTGGATACATCCTTTAATTATTAAAAAACTTCCGTAACATTGACACGGACCTGATTTAAGAAAATGAAACAAACCAAAAAAGTTGCACTTGTTTTGTCCGCTGCAAAATGGCACTTGTCAACAAAAATCTGCCTTTGTACTGTCACCTGTCAGCTGATTGCTGACTCCAGACTCCTGAAATGTTTGCTGTAGTAGTATAGTTTGTTTCGTTTTAAAGACATGTAAAATTAGGAACACTTTTTAGCATTGTTCGATGTTGGTTGCAAATGTTTTGTCCAATACTGTAAGCTTTAAAATAAAACTCAAAAAACTCAAACTTAAGGCAAAACTTACTTTTTGTTACCTTTTTATTTGCGGTTGAAATAAATTACTATAAAACTTACCTTTTGAAACGTTTTATTAAAGTTAAGTAAAACGCTTTTACAAATTACTTCTAATGATTGTTTAATAAATGAAAAAATTTTAATTAGTTGTTTATTTAAAAAGTGAAACTAAATTATTGAATATATTTTTAAATTGTATAAACATTTTTTTTAAAGTCGCAAAAAAAAAAAAATTTTTCTAATTATGAAGTAATCTTTTTAAAATAATAATTTTTAATCATTTCATTAAGTAAGTTTAAAAAAAAAAATTTAAACAACTCTTTGTAAAAATAGAAACAAAAAAAAAATAAAGTAATTAAATCATTCAATTGCAACGAGAAGATTTTAGTTGAACTTAAAGATTTTTATAAAGACATGGAAAAATAGTTTCAAATTTTTAATTTATAAAAAATACATGCCTACTAAAAAAAATTTATATTTTTAATTGACACTTATTTATTTTAAATGATCATTATAATTAATTTTTTATTTTATTTAAAGCCTTTGCATAAAATAAAAACGTCAAAAAAGATTAACGATTAATTGTTGTTTTTAACGTAATTATTTTTTTTATTGTAATTTAAATTGTTAAAACATTAAAACAGTCATGGTCAAACTGTAAAGAAAAAATATTATTAACATGGTCAGTTACAGAGTGCAATCACACGGCATTTCTCTCCAAACCTGATGTATATTTATACATAAACATCATCATGATCAACATGATCATCATCATTATCATCATTTTAGCCTTTTCCTTTTATGCTCTTTTTATAATATAAAAAACAAGCATTTTTTTTCCTTAACTAATGCTTGTTCATACCATATATAATGCACTCTAATAAAGTTTTTTTACTTCTACCTCTACCATTTTCTCCTGAAACTCTACATGCTGATATCCAAATTACTTTAATCTTCTCTGACAAACGTTGTTTCATACAACACTTATTCTAATCTCTGTCTAAGATTATGGCTCCTTTTCTTGTCTTGTTAGAGTCATATCACACATTCATCTGATCATCATCTTCTCTTTTGACAAATATTACACCATATAAATACTAAAGTTTATACAAATAAGAAGGATATTTTATGCCAGCATATATTTGTTCTTACTCATATATATTCATATTATGTATGCATAAATGCGCCTCTTACCTAACCCCTTGCATCCAAGCAGGTATGAAAGCTTTCATTCCTTAATCTCAGTTTTATGTCAACCCACTTTTTACTCCATGTTTTTCACCTTCTTGTACAGTTGCTATATTAAACTGTAATCATTTTTTTCAAGATCTTTTTTTAAAAGAATATCTCTCTTGAGAACGAATGTATTGTTAATATTGCATAAATTTTTATTCATTTCCAGTAACGTTAGAGTACTCCTAAAGTTACTGGAAATGTCTCTTTCCTTCTTTATTGTTTTTATCTATGACAACAATCTTCCAGACAATTTTACATCTAAAGTGTCTCTATTTGCTGACAACTCAACTTTATACACTTGTCTTGACAAAAAGTCTTCACCTTTTGATCTCTTTTCAGTGAAAACAGAATATCTCTTTTGACCAAAGAAACTTCTGTTGCATTGCACCCCTTCTTAATTTAATAGGTTGTTTTAAATGGAAACCCATGTTACACTGTTTCTGGCCTAATATAATGAACTTTAAATTTTCTTAACTTTACTCATTGCTTTTTGATTGTGCATTGATGGTATGAAAACTATTTCTGATTGTGCATTGATGGTATGAAAACTATTTCTGATTGATTTATTACTACATATTTTTATTTATATTGGGATTATAATTTCAATACTTTAGTTTTCTTCTTTCTGTACTCCTCCTCCTAGTACTAAAGCTTCAGATCTGTTCATTCTACTACTAGCTTATTAATCATTTTAACTGAAAGTTGCTACTGTCCTTTAAAGAGAGGCAAATACACCCTTAAATTGAGTATGGATAAGACTCACATGCCATACTTATTATTAAAACTCTTTAATGTATGTGAGGTGTATATGAGGCAAGAGCTATTGCTCTTGAGATATTAAAGAGTTTTAATAATAAGTATGACATGTTGGTCTTATCCATACTCCATTTAATGGTGTATCTGAGAAAATTTTTAAAACTATTGAATTATTCCTTTCCAATCCATAGTAATTGTTATCCTTGATAAACAAAACACTGCTCTATTTTATTAGGTTTGGTCTTTACTCTTGTTTTGCTTATCTATATTATTTCTCATCTATATTAATTATTTTCTATAATATAGATGTTCTCATCTCAAAGTGGCATTTTTTGCTAACGATGCAAGTAAATAAAGAACAGATACTCAATCTTGAATGTGATATCTCTTCTGTGAGGTTCAGGGTCACAGTGGCTGGTGAATTTTAATCCTAACTAAAGATAATTGTTTTCTTCTGAATATGGGTAATACACATTATTGCAAATAGTCACATATTTACATTATGATAAATATGATAAGTCACATATTTACATTACTAAAATTATTTTAAATGCAGGTGATAATAGAATTATTTTTAAATTTTAAAATTTAAAAATTAAAATTATTTAAAATGTAGGTGTAATAATTAGCTGTCTGGTATTTTAATATTAAATACAAAAAAAAAAGTAAAATGATCAAGCTGCAAGGAAAATATTAGTATTTATTATTATTTTCATTAGCTACATTAATTGACTACTTACAACTTTAAAACTGCAAGGTTTGCATCTAAATTGTATGTTTGTTCAAAAGCCTAAAAAAAATAATATTTATGCATATCTATGTTCTTTAAAAAACCAAAAAAACCTAATAAAAAAACAATATTAAAAAAATGAATGAAAATATTTTTTTAAATTATTAACAATATTAGAAAAATTAAAATTTAATGATATAGTGAAAGTTACAAGATAACTTGTTTTTGTTACTGCATATTTTTAGTGCTTTTTAATGTTGTTTTGGTTTTAGTGTAGGTTTTTTATGCTTTTAAAGAATTTTAAAATGTTTTTTATTACTTATTTTAAAAAAATTTTTTTCAATGTTTTTAATTTTTTTAAAATTCTAATTAGTTTCTGTTTGAGTTTTTTTGATTCTTTAATATATTAAATTATAATTAATCTAATTAAAAAGTTAAGAGTTTTTGATTTGTAAATTTTGTTTAATTTTGAGTTTTAAATTAGATAACATGCAATTTTACTTGTTTTCTTTCTCCCGCAGCAGGCTACTTTATTACTATTAATCCTTATAATCAAGTCTTAAACCTTATAAAAAAATAATTTAAAATTAAAAACTTATAGTATAATTAATTTAACTAGAAATTGGCTTAATTAATACTGACAACTAAATTGTTATATACTGAAAAAATATCATGATTCTGATATTAATGAAATACAACTTTGACAATTATATTATTCAAATGATTACTGATTTACAAATGATATCAAATGATACTGTTGATATAATGTATTGTAATCATAATACGATAAAACAATATCATAATCAACAATATATTATGTGTACTCTCTGAGATTTATTGTTTAAAAATAACATATCTCAGAGAGTAGAAAATCTACAGAAATTAATATTCAGCAATTGAAATTATCCAAAAGTAAATGAAACTTAGTACTGTAATATTTCAATATTTTAAACTTAGCAATGCAGTGTTATTAGATAATTCTCATTTATTCTATTGATTAATACATTTGTTCTTAATTTAATAAACAAATGGATTAAAGTAAAATTTAAAAAAAAAAAGTTCTTTAAAAATACTTTGGTTCAAGAAAAAGTTTATTTAATGATTTTTTAAATAACATTTTTTTTATTAATTTACTGATCAAAGAAAAGGGTACAAAATAGAAACTACTGGTCAGAATTAAAAAATAAAAATAAAATTCTTTTTGTCAGAAAGATTTTAAAAAAAGTAATCAGAATATGCCATGCTGAAATAAGCAAAAATATTTAATTTCTCATTTTAACTTTAAATAATTAATAGAGGAATGGATAATATTATTTCAATAATAAATAAAATAAACAAACAAACAAACAAACAAACAAAAAGATGAAACAAAATTGATTATCTAGGCAAAAGATATTTAGCATTTTTCCAAATAAAAAGTAGTTAATGAACTTTATAAGTTTCATATTCCATACTTATGTTGCTAAACGATTTTTCGTAAATTCCTTATTCAGCATCAGATTCTATATTCACTATCTGTATGCTCCTCAGATGCAGAAATATGATTAAAGAAACTTTGAACTTCAGGGGTATTTTTAATGGATGGTGAAGAAAAAACTAAAACTAGGATGTCCTCAGAGGTACCCTCATAAGGATAGTAGCTCTTGATTTACATATATTGAAATACTTTCAGAATCCCTATAGTCACCAATATCAATTTCTTTATACCCACGACTATCATCAAAAAAAATTAACAAGGACCTCATTTATATCAGCATAATTTGTTCTATTTTTATCATTATTTCAAAATTATTTGTTGAGTGATCTAAAAATTTTTCTATAAAAATTTGTTTATATACAAATTTTATAGAAAACTTGTATAAATACTATTATTTATATGATATTATGAAAGAGTTGAAGGAATACTAAACAATTATGAAAAATCTATTGCATATTGGATAATTTATCAAATTAAAGCATTAAAATCTATAGATTAATAACTAAGGTGAGGTAAATATAGTATACTCAATAAGTAGTCTGTACAAAATTTATAGAAAAATATGAAAAAAATTAACCTGCATTTGAACATAATGCTCTAGTGTTGGAAGATTCTCAGGGTTGTATCTAAATAAAAAAAAAAAATTATTACGCTTATTTGAAATTTATTAAAAACAAGTCTTTAAGACCAGAAAGAATTACTGAAACGTTAAAAGTTCTAGGTTGTAAACACCTATATACACAGTCCGTGCCAAACAAATAGCAAACTATAAATATATTTTATTCATTTTATACTGTTTTAAACATTAAAATATCTAAAAATAGTCATAATCAGAGAGGTAACAAAAAATGTCATTTTTGGTGCTAAATGTTTTCCTGGTGTGAAAATATGTTAGACCATATGATACTTTCTGGTGACAAACAAATAGCACACATTAGTCATTTAGCATGACTGCAACAGACAAATTGCTAACGCTAAGTAGGTGATACATATATTAATGTAGACCAAAGGGCCATCATATGCGAACTAATCATATATATTACAGAGGACTACTATGGGACGTGAAACTAAGTTAAATCCTGAAGAAGTCAAATCAATATGATCAAGGTATTCAAAGCTGCCAATGTATCAATGTCTGAGATATTGAAATGTCACATACTACAAGTGGCTTCTAACACTGGCTATAGTGCCCAATTGATACACCTCCATCTGGATATTGATATGTCATTGTGTATGATATAAAGAACGTTACATGAAGCCAAACATCTGAGGTATGCAAAGAGTATGTCAACGCCAGCAATGCAGAAACATCACATGGAGAAATGTATGGCGTACGCAAACAAATATTTGTCTTGTCCACCTGATTGGCGCTCAATTATTTGGTTTGATGAGAAGAAATTTAATCTTGATGGTCCAGACGGATATCAATATTATTGGCATGCTTACAAAAAGAGCCCGAGACTTTATTGTCTTAAAAAAATCCATGAAATTTCCAAAAAAAGAAGATTTTATTTTTTTGTCTGAAATCACCTGGAGCCTTACTTTTTGCCTTAAAATACAGAGATCTCCAGGATTTTAAGGCAAAAAGTAAGGCTCTTTTAGGTGAATTTTAAGGCTATTGGATTACAGACTATATTTAACTAATTGGAAGGATTAAGGATAAGTAAGGCGGATTTTAACGCTATTTCCTTAAAATCCGCAGATCTCCTTATACTATTAGGAAAAACTTAGTGTACTAAAATATTCATTGAATCCAAAATAAGGCTAGAAATTAAAAATTGGTTTTAATTTCTAACTATAAAGTTATTATAGAATTAATCCTGTACTTAAGGGAGTAAAGTCTGAGTTTACAACCCAGTTTAACTATTAGTAATAGTTAAACTGGGTTGTAAACTCAGACTTTACTCCCTTAAGTACAGGATTAATTCTATAATAACTTTATAGTTAAAAATTAAAACCAATTTTTAATTCCTAGCCTTATTTTGGATTCAATGAATATTTTAGTGGGAAAATCCTGAAAAATTATATAAGCTAAATAAACTATTTTTTCAATATTTTTTGGCAAAAATAAAGTAATAAAATATTGAACCAGTATTATGATTTGAAAAAATATAACCAACCTAACTAACTGATTATCAAAAACTTTCAATAATCAACTTTATTATGTTAATTCAAAATCTGTAGTTGCATATATTTATTTATATTAAAAGGTACATGAACACGTGTGACATGATAAGGTCGCCTAAACCTTGACCAGAGGAGTCTAATAGTATAGATTCGAGGGACAAGACCACAAACACACTTTTTAAGGCAAAGAACAAGGATTTAAAAGGTTGGCAAGAGTGAATGCACGTATTTTGTGCGTATTTTAATTTATATACCGATCTATTCCTTTTAAGAGTGCAGCTACGCTATCTTCCTTCATTGAATCAGCCATCTTTAACAAATGTGTTTCTTCGAAGGCCGTAAACATATAAGTCCGTTAATTTAAGGTTAAAATTTTAGGCAACTAAATCTTAATCTCTAATGGTTCTATTCATAAATGTTGTCAGAGGTGACGGGTGTATGTGTGTGTGGGGGGGGGGAGGAGGGGAGAGGGATGTTATACTCCTCCCCTCCCACCTCTTCCCCGAAAAAGGTGATTTTCAAGTTATAGTCGGTTTTTTTACGAATTTAGTTGGCTAGTCGGGCATTTGACACAATTCAGTCGGTTAAATTTTCGTTTTGAGACCTTTATTTTTGGTACTTTTGAGGATTCACCCCCTCATTTTATTCGCAGAATCACCCTCTGAATGTTGTATTACACAAAAAAAAAAAACTGTAAACTGTAACTATTATTTAAAGAACGCGGAAAACTGTTGTTGACCGTCATTGAACCGCTTTAAATTACTTGTGATATTTTTATATATCTATCATTGCATCAAATTTATATTTACAAACAATACTATAGTCTCAGTTCAGATAGCTTGAAAATATAACGTAAACTCGGAAAAAAATAAAAAGAAGCAAGCCGATGTTAAACAAAGATTGTATTTTAAAAAAATTTAAATTAAATGTTGAAAATGTCGTTCACATCCTATAAATAAACTTAAAATTTATTTTTAAAACTTTTCTATTTCAATTTTTTTTTTTTTTTTTTTTTTTTGAGTGTGTATTTTTAAATTATATTTAAAAACATACGCCTTTCCCAAATAAAATCGGAATGGGAAAAAAAATTAAGCAATTGAATTTATTTTAAAAAGCAGCACCCTTGCAACAATGTTGCTCAGTTTAGTCAGTTAAGTTTTTTTAAACAAAGTCAAAATAAAGGGTGTCTTTTTTTTCATTCCCCTCCCTTCTTGTTATTAATTATAAAAAAAAAAATTTTTTTTTTCTCTCTTTATTACAATCTTTATACAAATATAAGTAAAATAAAAAGTTGTCTTACATTAATTTAAATTAACTACAAATAAAGATATCGTTAGAAAATAAAAATAGCATAATAAATAAATGGAAAACTCGTAGAAGACCGTGAAGTCTTGTCACCGAGAAACCGCTCAAGCTGATTGATATGATTTTGCTGATTTGATATAGAGCTTTAATGTTTTCTTGTTCTTGTTTTTTTATATATCAACCGGCTTATTAGAAATCCTTCGTTAAACTGGTAGAGCTGATGAATTTTCTTGGTTTAGAAAGTTCACAAAATTTACGTTGTAGCAATCAACCTTACGTTGTAGCAATCAACCAAATAACTTTCTCAAACAGAATTTTTTTGTTTGTATTTTTTTTTATTGTGAGCATGGTTATTTATATCTTGGCTATTTACGATATCATAATCCAATTTTTGAAAATAATATATTTTAACAATTTATACAGTATTTGATTTCTATAATTCTTTAATAACATTTAGTTCATTTTAAGAAAATCATTATGCGATAAATAGCTAAAATTAGAATTTTTCACACTCCAGTCTCATAAATAATTGTTTTCGTCTGTACTTTTAGTAACGACTTTAGTAGAGCACGACTTTTAGAAAGTAAGCTTCTGATGTTGATCTTTTTTAGCTTGAAATCAAAAAGGATGTATTTTATTTTTAGTGTGTTTTATGATATTAACTAAATTTAAACCTATATAGTCTTTTAAAATCAAAATTTGTAGTTTTGAAAGTTCTGCTTTATAAAATTTATAAAGCAGAACTTATAAAATAAATTGGTATCATCTCCAAACATTATGACATCTAGTTTCATTAAAGTCTTAGAGAGATCATTACTGTGTATGAAAAACAGCATGAACGCTAAAAATGATCTTTAGGGGCAACTTGAGTCATTTAAAGTAACTTTAAATATTTGTTTTCATTGGCAATTCCTCATAAATATCTGTTTGACAAAAAATTTATGATCCATTTAAAGCAACACTTTTTATACCATACTTTTTTATCTTTTTAAGACAAATTGTATGATCTACAAATGCTTACAATGTCAAATGTTTTAAATAATTCAACAAAGATTCCAAGCACAACTTTATCATTTTTTTTTTTTTTCTTAAGTTGATTTAGGTGCCCCAAGAAGTCCTTACGGTCTTATCACAGAGCACCGCGGAAGAGCATTTAATAGGAAGTTCACGCCTCCTTCCTAACCGATGTCGCAAAACTTGCTCAGAGGTGGGGTTTGTACCACGGATCTTACGTTTCTGAGGCAAGAGCGCTACCATTGCGCCACGGCTGCACAAATGTTTAAAGGAGTGTGTTGTTTATAAGATTTAAAATTGCGTTTTTGGTTCAATGTTGCTTTTAATTTAATTAGTTTTAATTTAAAATCTTGTTACTTTTTAGCTATCCATTAAGTACACGACGTGTTCCACACGTATAAAAAACTTATTAATACGTTTTAATACTTTTTTTAGACGTGTTAAGCCAGCCGAGTGCTTACTAGGTATTTATACTATAAATTACTTATTTTGAAAGTTTTGAAAAGACAGGAAGAACTAAGATAAACCTGTAGTTATTTAGTATAAATAAATCTCCGGTTTTTTAAACGGGTATAACTTTTACTATTTTTAGTCTATCCGGTGTAAATGTAATATTTTTAAAAAATTACGGGTTTGTTTATTATCAGAAATACGGGTTTGTTAATTATCAGAAAAACATTTACAACTATATTGCTATAAATCTCAACAATGCAGAGTCGGCCAGAGTTTTTTTTTTTTTTTAGGTTTACATTTGTTAATTGTTGAACAGCTTTAAATAACCAATAATAAAAAAATAATATAAACTTATAATGATAGAAAATATAACAAATATTAACAAGGAATCTGAAACAAGATCGCAAAGATCTTGTCGCCAGAACTTTAAACAAGCATTTAAAAAAGATAAGATAAAAAATAATAATAATAAACTTTTACAAAATTGCAAGGTAAATAATCTGTGTCTGAAGAAAGATCAAGAGGATCTTAACATCAGAATTTTATACAAGAGTAAACCAACATATAAATTAAAAAGTGTAAGAACAATAAATAAACTAAGTAGAAATAAACTTCTATAAACGTAACCATGTAGATAAACCATAAAAAAAGTAGACTAAAATATATTTTTAACTTTTAATACTAATAATAACTCAATATAAACGGTCTAAGAACAGAGCACTGCGAAAGAGCATTTAATTATAAAGTTCACATTTCCTTCTTTACTGATGACGGGAAATGTGCTCGCTTCGAAATCAGGACCGCCCTAATCATTTTACCACGGTATCTTAATAAAAAAAAAGCAAGTTTGTAATTGAGGATTAAGAGAAATTGTTTTGGGATTTAAAAAAAATCGTTATTTTCCTTAAATAACGATTTTTTTTTAATCCCAAAATGTAATAAGTTGAGGATTAAGAGAAATTGTTTTGGGATTTAAAAAAAATCGTTATTTTCCTTAAATAACGATTTTTTTTTAATCCCAAAATGTAATAAGTTGGCAACGAGAGATTGCAATGAGAATTCTAATTCTAATGTCAGTTAGTAACAAATCGCTGTTACTTGATAACTTTTAAACCTTTAAATAACAAATATGTTTATATACAATTTAAAATACAAATTAACATATTCTTCAACTGCAAATTTTAGGTTCGTCATATTTTTTGATAAGAAATAGTTCCAAAGCAACACAAAGCACCTGCTTTTACTGTAAAAATGAACGATAACCATCCTAAATAGAACGACCATTGAAATTTTATATTCTCGCCATGCCTGCTTTGCACACCAGTGAAAATCAAAAGGGCAATCATAACCGACAATCCTATTAACAAAAATGTTTGTTTTAAAAAAGAACATTTTTATTATTATTTGGTTATAAAAATAGCTCAATAAAATGACAATAATAAAATTGGTAAATCAGTTAAATGATATATAAATATGCTTTTTACATTTATTATACAGAAAACGGCTTCTTCTTTTTTTTAATTTTTTTTTAACTTTCTGCCTTTTTCTTTTGTTAGTGGAAAGGAACAGACGGAATTTAATTTTAGAAATTTATAAACAGTATTATTCTACTAATATATAAGGGTTTAAAATAATATGAACAACAAATATTTAAAATTATTATTAGTTAATTATAACTTAATATTTACTAAATTAAAATATTATGAAAAAACATATGAAAGTAGTGTTGAAGCCTAAAATCTAAAGTGGCGCTTAGGAAAAACAATTTATAAACATTTGACGTTTTTATTAGGGAGCGGCGATGCATCATTTGACATATACGTTGATGACAGATACATCAATGCATCGTGTTTGATGCATCGAACGATTAATCGTGTGCACAATGCATCGAAATACTGGATCGAAACATGATGCATCGAATGATTCATCGTTACACAATGCATCGAAACACTGGATCGCTCAACAATGCAAAGAATGAATAAAAATAAAGTATAACAGCTAAATTTTATTTAGTCATTACTATTTGCTATTAATCATCTACAATAGTGGCATAAAAATTTTACAAAATTAAAAAAAAAAAAAATAGTCAAAGTATAAAATTGTTCACACCATTTATTTTCTTCATTTGTCTAAAGTTTTCCTTTATATTTTTCACCTGGCGAAGCCGGCAAGTTTTGAATAATTAAAAGATTGGTTCTTCCAGTAACGATCTCCCCATTATCGGCAATCGGTGTCGTTATCAAATAACTTTCTATCGCCGCCTTAATCTCCACTATCAAAGAGCTGCTTCCTTATGGGTTATTAACCACTTTTCCAAAAGTTCGGATTTTCAAACTTTTGCAAGACCTTCTTACGTACCCAACTGTTGTTTTTTCTTGAAGCTGTGTGTGTCTGTATCATTATATCTTCCGTTACATCAATGAGGAATTGTGATGTGTTAAGTGATGTGGTGTTTCTAAGTTTAGCCTTGCACATGTTGAACACAGCTTCATTCAAAGATATCTTGGTCATGTTGATCTTTGCCCAACACCATGCAATATTGATCCTTTATAACTTGGATCCAACATGTTTGCATATGCGTATTCTAAAACTTTAGTTCGACATTCGGGAAACGTGTCATGCATTTGCAACAAGATATGATCAGCGACTTCTTTCATCATGGGATTGGGTGGATCATGTGATATTGAATGCAATTCATCTTCCAGATCAAAAAGTTCTGAAAAAAAAAGTTAAAACGATATGGACTTGCAAGGTTGGATAGTTCTTCAAACTATTTCAATAATTCAATCATTGTCCTCAATTGTTTAATCTCCTCTTCATCTGGTATTTTGTTGACTAGTTTTTGTGAAACATCTTTTTCTGCTACAATTTTATTGGTAGGCAGTAGCTTATTAATTAATTGTAAATGATGGACCTCACTGTTCCATCTAGTCGAGCAACTTTGAACTAGTTTTTTAATTGTAATATCTGGAATTTTTAATGCTTCGACAATTTGTAAATCCTTTGACTTCTGAGAATGATTAAAGAAGCCAACCAGTCTTGTCAGCTTATCACTCAAATCTCTCCACAGCACACATTTTGAGGCAGCACTTTGTACATCAAGTTTATCTTATGATCAACACACCAGAACACATCATTTATAACACTATCTTTTTCAGCTTTCTTCATATTTGCTCCACTAATATATTCATATGTTTCTAATTAATAAGTGTCTTTATAGTGTTTCGTATTTATAAGGCGTTTAAGTTAACGATTTACGATTAACAATGCATTAAACGATCTATTAATTTTAAAATTATTAATACATTAAACAATCTATTTACTTTTTCGGAAAAAGTAAACAGATTGTCTAATGTATTGATAATCTTAAAATTATTAGATTGTCTAATGTATTATTAATCGGAAAATGTTTTTTCCATGTTAAAGGTTAAGGCATTGTAAGAAACATAATCGTAAATCGAAAAATAACTAATTTAAGTAACTATACACCATTTTATAATTTTTTTTTATATAACACATTGTTAATTGTTCCGGTACATTTTTGTTCGATGCATCGCATTTGATGCATTGAACTACTAATCGCTTTCGATATATCGAACACGATGAGTTGTTCAATGCATCGAACACAATGCATCAACGTATTTTTAAACAATACATCACCGCTTCCTAGTCTTTATTATAATTTTCATACATAAAAAAAAAAAAAATGACAGGAACAAATCTTATGCAATTATTATAGAGGCTTGAAGTTAAGACAGAAGTCTTAACTTCAAGCCTCTATAATAATTGCAATTCAACAAAAATTCTCACCAAAAAGCAATAAGTTAATAAATTATAATAATACAGAAAAGAAAATAAGTCTTTATATCATGAACTTGTAACAACAAATAATATATAGAAAAAAAAAGATTATTTTTTATAAAATAATAAATAGCAATAACATAAATATAAACATTAGTTCTTTCTAGAAGATTTTAAGCATTAAGAAAAAAAAAGTAAGCTATTAAGATAAATATACAATGATAAATAAAAAAATCTCAATGTGAGAAGCAGATTAAAAACAACAGCTGATTTAGCATGCAGATCTTGACATTAGTTTCTAGTTCCTTGTCGGCTAGAACTAACAAGAAACTAATAAAAAATCTAGCAGCTAGGAGAACATGTACCAAGTATGCTACAGTAAATTCATTAAAAGCATATAATGTCTGCTCCTAAAAAACAATATTGAATTGGAAAAAAATGAATCAGATCATACAAAACAGCCTAAAAGATAATTGGGTTACAATTTAAAAACAATATAGTTGGTTGTAGCTTCCAGCTAATTCAAAGCTTTTAACTCTCTAAGAATGAGCAGCTAGTTTGAGTGCATAACTAGCAAGTAAAGACTGTCAGCAATAAATCTTGCATCATGAGCATTTAAATGAGAGGTAACTTAGCTCTTTTTCTTTCACAGTGTTACTTAATGTTTATGTCTGAACACAATCTAATGACCAAACATCTCATAATACTTTGGAAGGTAATAACATGACCTTTTCCTATAGAGTTTTCAATTTTCAAGATTTTAATCAGCACTTTTTGTAAATCATTCTCATCTGATATAAGCATTAACATACCCAATTTCGAAATTTGCTGCATGTATGAAAGTTATCTTTCTCAAGCATCAAAAAAAACTGCAGCACACACCCTAATTATCTATACAGATTGTAACAAATAATCAAGAGACCATTTATAAAACTATTAAAATGATATGCCCTTCCCGCATAAAGTAGACATCAAAGTATGACATCAATTTTTGCTTTTAAAAAGAAACCAACTTTTTTTTTAAAAAACATCTTCGCTTTCAACAAGGCTGCAAGCAACCACTAATTAGAGTTGGAAGTTATTGGAAGAGAAAAGATGAAGATTGTAGAGCAAGATAACGATTGACAGACAAGTTAAAAGATTGCAAATTATATGAATCAGGTAAGCAAGATGAAGGAAGCAAATTCCAAAGAACTGATGTTTGAGGAAAAAAATTAGTGGAATAAGAGTTTTTAGAGCACTTAGGAACAGCCACAGAAGAAGGATGAGACCTAATTGAATGACGAGTAACACTAGAACAAATTTTAGTAGATGGTACAAGAAACACTAGCTTTTTAGAGCAGTGCCCATTATAGTGTTTTCAGAAAAGAGAAAGAGAAGCGACATTACGACGATGTGATAATGGTTGAAGGTTGGCTGCAAGAGCAGGTCCAATTATGTTTACAATGCGTTTTTGCACCTTGTCTAAAAGAGAAAGGGCATTATTAGAAGATCCGCTCCAGATATGGCAACAGTATTTCATACAAGGCCGGATTTGAGATTTATAGAGATAGAGAATAGAATCTGGAGTAAGAAAGTGTCAAGCTCGATAAAGAGATGCAACTTTAGCAGATGCTAGTTTTGCAACGGATTATATATATGGTTTCCAATACAAATCTAACATAGACTACTCATATTATATATATTACAATATATACATCTTTATGAACCTTTAGGAATTATAGTGGAGCACTTTTTTTCTTTTAGAATCACACTTTCATTGGTATTAGTTCTATGCAGAAATCAAAATTATAGAGTAGAATGTCTTATATAAAAATTTATTTTCTGATTGATTTTTTTTTTATACAAATCAATATTTTAGATTTTTCCTGAGCACTGCTTGATTCTAAAGGTTTTAGGTTGGATTTCAAAAGACGTTTTTCTTCAGATTCTATTAACATGTATAGGTACAAGCTGGAATGTGTTGAAAATAAAATTGTAAGCATTCCTTTTTAGTCCAAAGTTGATATTTTCCAAAATCCAGAAAAGAGTGTTTAAAAAACAATATCATTTTTATTATTGTTGCCATCTCTTATTATAATTATCATAGAAACCCGAATGATCTATTGTCTTTGTCTTTAAACATGGTTAACTTAATTTATAATAATACCTTTAATAGTGTCACTAATAAAGCTGTTGAAGCGATTGATGACTTGTTAAAATTTGTATAACTAAAATAATTTTACAACTACATTTTATAACTTTTTTATTTTATAAATATTTATAATTGTTAATAAAAAATGTAATATTACTTTAAAAGTTGAATATTACATATAAAATGGTTCATCTTTCAAGGAAAAAAAAATCATAATGAATCCAGAGATCCAGTTTGTTTTTGTTACTGTAACGAAACAGACAACTACTCTCTTTGTAGTATGCCATCATTGGTGACACTAGTTTGAGACTATGAACACGAAGGATTCAGTTTTGATATAAATGCATTTCCCACTGGAGCTTGTTGCCGTTACAAAAATGCTCTCTATGCCAAAAAGACTATTATATTTTATAAATATTTTATTAATTTTTTCTATTAAAATTTTTTACTAAAAGTACAAATAATCTTGTTGACAACAAGGAAAGCCTATGAAAATAATTGAAGAGATTTGGAAAAGTGGAAGAGAATTACTTATAAAGATGGGAAGGGTTGCTCCAACTAGCAATTAATGCTTAATATGCCAATATGCTGTATGGCATCAGACAAGCGCAGCCACAAGATCTTTAATTTAAGAGATTATTTCATTGAGTCAAATGAAAATTTCTGCATTGAAAAGTTAAATTCCTTCTGCACAGATTGTTTTTAACTAGTTGGAAAGGGTATTAGGCACCCATGCACCAGAATATCTGCTGTTCAAAATGCTAAGAATCTTATTTTTTTCCAAGGATAAAAAGATGTCAGAGCAATTAACCTCAATTGCTTTAAAGTTTTTAGTAAAGGCTGAAAGTTTGTTACAATTATTCGCTGGAAAATTTTTATTTATTGGTTTATTTGTTTATAATGACTTGCTGCAATACTCTATTCTAATTTTAGGAGGATCACTGCAACCTGTAGTACTAAAACCTAAGCTCCAAACAAATAAAGTAGTCTCTACTGATACAATATTTGATACCAAGAAAAATCTGTCTGAAAATGTTGTTCGTGATATTCTTAGAGATTGGCGAAAAGATCTTGGCCATTTAAATATTTTACATATATAATTTAAATGGCAGTATATTAGTTTATTTATAAAATTTTTATAGAAAAAATTTATAACAGTTAATATAACTCACATTGTTTACAATCTGGTATTTTACAACTAGTTATTGAAAAGAATTCTATTGCTACGGTTATGAAGCGTTCTCATGTTCTAGAAAAGTTTTACAGTTACAAAAAAATTGCGTTTTAAAATGGAAAGGAAAATGAACTTGAAAACTCAGTGTTAAAAAATGTTGTATATATTGAAGATCTTACCAGACTTGTTCAAGAAATATGCTCTCTACGTGGATTAGATCCTATGATTGTTAGAGTTGGAATTGACTAAAGCTCATAAACGTACTTCTTGGCATATCAGTAAGAGATTTTGCCTTTTTCTAATTATTAATAAAAATTAAATAATTTACTTAATTTTTTACAAGTATTACAACATTTAATCTCAGAATAACAAAACAATTTATTATAGAGTCATGGTGGAAAACATGCTTGTTGTTACTGTACTGGTACAATTAGCTCATCAGGTGACTTAAGAACTTTTTCCTGTTCAGATTACTATTGGTACCAAGATGCAGGATATCCTTATAAGACTATGAAATTATTCAATAATGTTACTAACCCATGTTTGCTTGAGGAAGATCCGAGAAAATTTATTCTTGATACCATCCCTCCTTCGGAACTTCCCATGTATGAGCATGTTGCATCAAAAGTTGTTGACATTCTTATTATCAATGAGGGTCTGAAATCCTTTTTCGATAAAAATACAGTAATGTGGCATAGGTAAAATGGTGGTGGATTGGGTGGACCCAACTGAAGTAAAGTTTTCAAATTATTGGATGAAATGATGCTGGTAACACCAATTCAATTATATCCCTGCATTGAAACCCTGAAAAAGTTTAGAACAGGTAACAATCAAAAACCACAAATTGAAGCTTAAAAAAGCGGCTTCCACCTGCAGCTCTATGAGAATTTAAACTAATTAAATACATGCATGTTTTAACTTGTTTATATAATATATATGATCTCATCATTTAATTTGAAAAAAAAAATTGTTTTTATTTTGAAGACAAAGACAATAGATGATTGTGTGAGTTATTAATGATCTTTTTAATAAGAGATAGCTAAAATAATAAAAATGATATTGTTTTTTATACACTATCTTTTGGATTTCACAAAATATCACTTTTGGACTAAGAAGGAACGCTTATGATTTTACTTTCAACACATTCCAGCTTATACCTATACATGTTAATAGAATCTGATAAAAAACATGTCTTTTGAAATTCAACCTAAAACCTTAGAACCAAGCAGTGTGAGGAAATCTTGACAAATATTGAAAAAGTCCTTAAACTTTTTTTAGTTTTCATTTTGACTCATAGTCAAAAGAAATACTTAGTCTGAAACAATTGCTGTTTATATTGTTTTTGCTTTTGAAAATTGTGTCAACAGGGTCAAAACATCAAAGTACAAAATATTGGCTACTTCAAAAATATCTGGCTAAAAATATATTAGGTTAACACAACACATCTGCGGATTAAAGTGAACACAATATTTTCTTTAACTTTTACCCTTTTTTTATCTCCAAAATGCACATTGGCATATGAACTGAAGCCTCTGCAGATGGCTAATTCAGTATTCCAGTAATGCATAGCTTTTATAATTGTTACGAAAGATTTTTTTTTAATGCTAAAAATTGTACAATGTGATATTGTGCTGACTTTAATCTGACACTTATTTATTGAAATATTTAAAATGTTTGTAATTAAAAAAATAAATTAGTAAAAATATGTTACCCTAAATGAGACCCAGGCCATTTAACATTTATATTAACTATGCACTATTGTCTGTTTACTATATATTCATATAACTGATTTCACTAAATATATTATTAATCAAAAAAATACAAATATCTTAATCCCCAAAAGGAACTCATTATATCTTAAAATTGTCCTTCATCAAGTTCTACTGACTTAAGTATACTTAAATACTTACATAAGTAAATAAATTTTATTAAATAAAAACACTCATAATAATATATAAGAATAAACTAAAGTTTGGCCCATTATATAAAGGCATTCTTACCTTAGATGTGTGTAGAAATTATATGGCATCATACCTGTTAAAATTAACATAACTGAAAGAACTTTAAAATTGACTTCCTGGAAGAAGCTAGAAAACAACACGTATATCAATAAGACACTATATCCAACTATACCAGTAAATAAAAATAGCCGGAATGCAATCATAAACCCTATTGAAAATATAACATTATTAAAAGATTACAAATTATAAGATAAAATATTAAATATTATAATATACATATAAATATGGAATATATATTAGGGTGTTTTTTTAATATGGAAATTAACAACCTCTTATTTGCTGAGGTTTGATAAAGAAAAGTTTATAAGTTAAAAATTTTTGCAAACTTATAATAAGAAGTGATCCCCCAAATCCTATTCCTGAACCCTAAATTGACCAAAATTTGTCTAAAAACCAAATCCTAAAGTTCTATGTTTCAACATCATATTTTGATGTTGGTAGGATGATCTCCTTCTTTTAAAGTTAACTGAAAATGCCTTACAAAAAGAACCATTACCAGGTAAAACGAGAAGACTTTTCTCCTAGTAATGGTTCACCTGGTAATGGCTCCAAACAAGATTTATACTTTTTTTAAACTTTTTTCTTTGGCTTAACTGAAGGTGAATGAAAAAATATTATACCAACCACAAACAATCTTTTAAACAAAAAAAGTACTTGAAAGAGACAAAATAAAATATATTTAGCAACTAAAAGAAAAGAAAAATAACTTTAAATTAAACTGGTCTATTCTAAAAACTGCGCTTGCCTATAAAAGCATTAATAATAAATGTATACTATGTTTTCAAAAAAAATTTTGAAATTATTACTCATTTGGATCAAGAAAGCTTATTAAACAATCTAAATTAATTTCCAAATGCAGATATAAAAACATGTACCTTTTAAAAAATTATTTAAAAAAATGACCAAAATAAACTATCCTAATTCTACAAATTCTTTTCACTATTAGTTTTTTATTTTAATGTAGTTCATGCAACTTCCTGGTTGCAAAATAACTACAGTTATTACATAATTAATTATAACGATTCCCGATTTGCTGTTAAATATTTTTTTTATAATTTGAATTTGGAGATGTTAGAAATTTTCCTGATGAATTAACTGATGAAGAAACAATTTGTTGAAGAAAAGATTAGATAAGTGTTTTTGCTAATTTATTATTGCTCTGTTCTTTAAGAACATTGAGCACTCTATTTGTAGAATACACTACATAATTTTAATGTATATATATGTATATATATATATATATATATATATATATATATATATATATATATATATATATTTATATATATATACTAAATACACTTACTAAAGCGTATTTTTATAAGCATTTACTCACTTTTTTTGCTTACCTTAACCCATACGGTTTTTTTAGAATAAGAAGAAAAAAAAACGAAGAATGATGAATGAAACAATTGCTGACCCATCCCAAACCCTCAGTCGATGTAGCAGCACTCCACTGCGAGTCAGGCTATTTGTCAGTCGATGTATGTACTGAAGCCCCCAGCAGCAGGCTATTTCAGTATGATGTCAGATGGCTTACCTTAGTATGCAATACTATTTGTGTGTGTATATATATATATATATATATATATATATATATATATATATATATATATATATATATATATATATATATATATATATATATATATGTATATATGTATATGTATATATATATATATATATATATATATATATATATATATATATATATATATATATATAACATAAATACTACTGAGAGCCCCATCTATACATCTATACCAAATGTGACATGAGACCTCAAAGCTCAACAAAACAAAACAAAGAATCTTTAAGCAGTATAAATATAAACTGTAGATTTTACATAAAATATTTTGTTTTATTTAAATAGACTATTTAAAACTTTAGCTAAACCTTGTTTGTTTTGACTTGAAAATTTGTTTTTACAATAAAAAATTTTATTTTCCATACAAGTACAAGTTCATATAAACTTTTTTTAACTTTTTAACTATCTGTGTTTGTAATTAATGAGTTAAAATACTGGTAATTGTAGAGAAAATAAAAGTAGAAATTTTACTAAAGTAAAACGGCAGTTGGATGAATGTTTAAGAGATTGTTTGTAAATAAAACTCTAAAACTTTAATGGATATTTTAAATGGATAGCATTTCTAAGAGAAATATGGATATATTGATTACTAATTAGTTTATAAAAATAAAACTTTTAATTAGCAATGGCTTAATGCCCATAATTGTTAAAAAAGGTGATTACAACATTGATCATATAAACAAAATCCATGTTTTAATTTTGTAAACATTACACAATTATAGTTCATATTGAAAAAAAATGTTAATAATTTGTAAAAATAGTTTAAATTTTTCTTTGAACATAGTTTTGATATTGGAGCTTATTGCTCCCTTTATTTAGCAGAAGGATTCGGACATGCGAAAAGAAAGAGAAAAGAGGCAGAAAGTCCTATGCAACTAGCAAGACAATGACAAGTACCTACAACTCTGTCATATGTAAGCAGATGTCTGCCAACCAGGCATTCAAGCCTGGTTATTAATTATAGAGTTGATAAAAAGATTCTTAAGAGGAAAGTACGAGGGGAAATACCAGAAATACCAGTAAAGATAATAAGTAATTTAAAAAGATAAGATAAAAAGGTAAGATAAAAAGAAATTTTTGTCCAGGAAAGCCTATTGACACCAAAGCAAGAAGAAGAATTGGCAGACTGCCTTATTGTGTTGATTGTGTACAGCTAGGGTTTCAGTGAAAAAGAGGCGAAAGACAAAAAACAAGATTTTGTAAAGAAAAAAAAAATACAGCAATACCATAGCACGCATTAATGGATTTTTAATCAAGAAAACAAAAGTTTGCTGTATTTACATTTTAAAATGTATAAAATAAACTTTATTATAATATTGCAATAACCTTATTGTATTATAAAATCGAAATTTTTTATAATTTTTATTAACATTTTTACAGATATAGCTCAAAACACATGCATCACAATGTGACATCGATTTGTCACGCCATGACACTCTTATTTTTTCATTAACTCGTAAGATAGAAATTAAAAAATCAAAAAAAATTTATCCTAAAAAACATTTATTTATTTTATAAAAAAAATTTATGCACATAGATATTATAAAACTGCCCAAAAAAAAAGAAAGCAAGACCCAAGTTTGAAGAATCTAAGGTCATTAAGAAATGGTTTCAACTGCTTGAGAAGACTCTACAAGACGCTGGAGTTAGTCGCCTACCAAGTCAAATATTTAACTGCAATAAAACAAATTTTGTCACTAATCCAAATCTCAAGTTTTATTAGAACTATAAAGGTATTCTAGAGTAAGCATTGGTGACGCAGGACAAAAGCAAATAACGGTAAATTGTGCATGCTCTGCAAGCAGCCAGTTACTACCACCTTATGTGGTGTATAAGAGGAAAAATCTATACTGTGAGTGGGTGCAGGGTGGCCATGATAGAGCTGCCTATACATCAAGTAAGCAGGGCTGGGTGGAATCACCTCAGTTTTTAGACTGGTTTCACAACATTTTTCTGAAAAACGCAATCATCTTGAATGTCACAAAAATTTTCTTACATTTGATTGACATTTCTCAAGTGTGAGCTTGCCTCATATTTAATCAGCAAAAATGAATAATGTTATCCTCCTACACCTGCCCTCTTGTTTTACTTATCTTTTCCAACTTCTGAACACCCTTTTTCAAATTTTTTAACCAGGTTAGAACAAGTAAAAACTGGTTTCAGGGGAACAGGCATTTCCCTCTTAACAAGGATGACTTATGTGATGTTTGGTACCATGTTAAATGCACAGAAATTCCAGATAGAGTTGATATTAAAGCCATGGACTGGATCTGTGTCTACAAACAGTGTAAAAGTATATGTTTAACATACTGGAGCTTGTTGCCCTCGTTTTTTTAACGGTGTTAGTTGTAACTTTTTAGCTTTTTTTTTTTCACTATATTATAGTGAAAAAAAAACTAAAAAGTTACAACTAACACTGACTTAAATTTTAAAAAACGAGGACAACAAGCTCCAGTATTTTCTTTCTCTATTTGTAACAAGGAAGGAAATTTAAAGCCATATAGTCTATATGGCTTTAAATTTTGCTGAATATAGCTTTTATACCATAAAAATATGTATTGTCTATCACTTAAAAATATTTCCAATTTGAATTTAATATTTATTTACTTATTTAAAATAGAGAAAGAAAATTCTTGAAAATATGGGGCTTGATGCTATCTGTTACCGACCTTTTTTTGAGGAAATTTAAAAAAATTTTTGCCTTTTTAATACAAGCATTTACACAAAATGTTGCAAATGCAATAAATAAATAATAGTAAAAAACCAAAACATTTTGCACAAAAAAACATAACTCTTTTTTAAGTTGTTAAAGCTAGGATTATTAATACTGGTTTTATTAGTAGTGGCACGAGTTTCTTTAAAAAATGATATATTTTTTACAGAAACTATTTATGAAGATTGGTACTTTGTATATATATATTTATGCTCCATAACTAGCATCTTATTCAAGATTTGTAACAAGGAAGCTGTAATTATATATTTTTTTTAAATTACAATACATACCATTAAATTTTGTGCTAAGACAGTTATATGACTTAACCTCTTTAACATGATAGCATTTTTGAAAAATGCCACTATTAACCTCAACTGACTGGTTTTTGGTAGCAATAATTGGTTGAAAATACCAATGATTTGTAGACGTCGATATTACTAGAAATATTAGAGCTAAAATTATCGAAACACAGATGACAAATCTAATTAAAGCAACTGATCGGACATTTGTCATGTTACTTATGCACCTTAATTAACAAGCGTTGTCAATAGGGGTAAGAACAATCGGTGGGGCGGATCTTTTTGTTTATACGGCATTGTTAGTAGTAAACAATTTTTATAAATTTATATTTTAATAATAAATTCCATTTTAAGATGGAAGCTTTTGAGAAGTTTATAACTAAAAATGTGAATAAAATTAGGTTAATTGCTCTCAAAAAATAATGGTGTAGTTCAAGTAAGTAAAAACAAAGGCTTGTAGCGTCATAATTTTTTAAGTAATTAATAATAGGAATTACTTAATTAACAATAGGAATTCTGCAGTTTAACGGCAGAATATTTATCACTAGGAGCAGTAAAATATATATTTTTTTAACTTATTACGTTCTCGTCCGTAAAAATCTCAAAACATTAAAATGTTTTTAAAAAACGAAGTAGATATATTTCAAAGTATTTTAATTTTTTTATTTCATTTTTTTAATATACATTTCTGTTGTCATTATTCTTTCAATAATATTTCTAAATGTAATTTTGTCTTATATATTAAATATTTGTTAATACTTATGCGTAAAATTTTTAACTGTATTTTGAATTATTTATAAAATCTTTGTTTTGGTATTTAATTACTTTTTCATTAATTATTACAGAGTTTATTAAGGATCGCTTTTTAAAGAACTTTTAAACAAAGGACGTAAAAACATTTAGACGTTTAAGGCATTTTTATAGATCCGAGCCGCAGCAGTTATTAAAATTCTACACGAATTAGAATTATTGGCGTTTATTTTTGAAATAATTTTACAGATAATCCGACATTTAACCAACCTTTTGCTTGGCTACCATATTACTACCCATAAAACACTAATTTTTGGGAAATATAAATGTATTTTATGCATTAAAAATGTTTCTTGTATTTAAAAATACTTAAATTGATATGCAAGCAGAGCCGCCGAGAGGGAGGGACAAAAGGGGCCCGCATACCCCAGGTGTCATGATAATAGGGGCGCCAAAAGACAAAAAAAAAATAAAAGAGATATTATTTATACTTAAAAAAAATTGTTTTTATTTACGAGTTTTAAAATAAATTTACTTGGTAATGTGCACAACAAGTTACTTTTTTTTATATTACCAAAGAACTATAGTTTAAATAATTTATCTTTTTACTTTGATTAGTAAGGAACGATATTAAAAAAAGACACAAGGTCTTATCCAAACAAAACATTTTATTCATAAATCTTATAAATGCTTTTATTATTATTCTGAAAAAAATATATAAACAATTTTAAAAAGCAAAATTTAAAAAAAAAAACTAAATTAATTAACTTTATTTGCTAATAATTAACAACTCCCTATAGAGAGTTAAAACCTCAACGCAAATTAAATATCACACCTACTCTCAAAAAAGAAAACAAAGTTGTATATTCCAACTTTGTAATAACGTTGGTTGCACTAATATTCCACTTTCTTTTTTTTTTTTTTACGAGGATTTTTTCAATAATTCGACAAAAATATATGTTTTTCTAGAGCTATCAAACTTTTTGAATATTTAACTTTAGAAATATAAACATAATTTTAAATTATAATTAATGGTTTTAACTTTCCGCAAAACAAAGTTAATTTTATTATACTTCAACATTTTATGAAAAAATTCAAGTATAATAAAATTAAAATCTCTCTAAAAAGAAACAAAGCAATCAGCGTGGAATAAACGGAAATATAACTATAGATTGCTACGAAAACCTTAAAGATATTATATTGTTTAACGTTGTTCCAGTGTTGGTATGCCCTCTGGGTTAGAGATCAGGAAATCAATATATCATAAAGTTCTCACTGCTTTGCAACAATGATAAAAGCAAGTATTGTTGTTTACGAATAACCACAAAAAGTAAATGAGCGTTTCACGAATGGCTTGTGAGCACTGCTTCATTATGGAAAATTTAAATTCAAGCCTAATGCATTCTTATATGGATTACATATAATATCCCAAGTATTTATATTGTGTTGCATACGTTAGAGCTATGTTGGATTACATAAAACAAGAGTTTGTAATTAAGGCTTCAAATCTTTTATAAAACATTATTTTTGAATATTATTGGTTTAAATTATATAACGTTTCAGAATAGGGTGGAGCACAAGCTTTCATGATTTTTTTTTTAGATCTACATCAATAGTTCACTTTTTCAAAATAATTTTTTGCTAGATTTATCAATTGAAGAGTTTAAAAGAGCCTTCAAATCTCTAAAAAGAAACAAAGCCTTTGGCGCGGACAGAATAAACGGAAATATAATTATAGATTGCTATAAAAGCTTTAAAGATATTATATTTTTATATTCTTCAGAGCATCTATAAAACAAGAGGTTTTTCCTGACCGACTAAAAATCTTCAAAGTTATCCCAATTAACAAAGACGAAAAATCAAATATTAATAATTATCGCCCTATTTCTGTCTACGTTTTCAAAAGTTTTAGAAAAAAATTATATACGACAAAATATACAACTACTTGATTACAAATAAATTAACTATATAAAAACCAGTTTGGCTTTTATATAGTTAATTTATTATAAAAAATAGTGAGCAAGCCATTGTTCAGTTTTCACATGAAGTCTCAAAGTTTTTTTTATTAAACCACCAAAGTATATGAGAAGCATATGTTAAAGATAGATGTGATTGCGATTGCGATGGTTTGATACACCTTAGTATCAAAAATGACATGTTTTAAAAAATACTTTTATGTTTACTAAAATAAATTCAATTAGTATACAATATAAAATTATGTTATACAAGAATTTACTTATGGGAGGGGCGTATCCTTCCCCCCTGAAAAAAAAACAAAGTTTTTTTCTGTATAAAAAAGGTTCTAAAAATTAATACCGGACAACAACAAAATATGGAAGCTGAGTGCAAAACTCATGGTACATGTGTTGATGATATAAATAAATATAAAAATTTCAATTAAGAAATATCTGATTTGCTATTTGAAGTCCAACAACAAAGAAGTAAAAAAACATATCTTAGGGAAAGCGGAATAGTATCGAAAATTAACTGATCGAAAAAATGATTAGTATCGAAAAATAACTGACCGAAACTCATTTTAATGATTAAGATCGAAAATGTGATTTTTAGATTAATATCGAAAAGTTTTTATATCGAAATTCACAAATTTGGAACAATATCGAAAACAATAAAAACGGAATAAGATCGAAAACTCATTTAACTGATTAACATCGAAAATGTGATTTTCTGATTAATGTCGAAAAGTTTTTATATCGAAATTCACAAATGTGGAACAATATCGAAAACAATAAAAAAGGAATAAGATCGAAAACTCATTTTTATGATTAACATCGAAAATAAGATTTTCTTAATAATGTCGAAAACAATAAAATCAGAATAAGATCGAAAACTCATTTTAATGATTAACTTCGAAAACGTGATTTTCCGATTAATGTCGAAAACAATAAAAACAGAATAAGATCGAAAACTCATTTTAACGATTAACATTAAAAATAAGATTTTCTGGTTAATGTCGAAAACAATAAAAACGGAATAAGATCGAAAATTTTAAACTGTCAAAAATTCTTTTTAATGATTAACATCAAAAATATGATTTTATGATCACACTTTTATTTTATAAAAAACTAGTACTAGGAGAAAATCTTAAGAAATTTTTAATACAAAGTCATTTTTTAAAAAGAAACTTATTTAAGAGTTCGATGAATATTTCCTAACTTTTCACCCTAATATCACATCAGCTTAACAAAGTTAGCATTACCTACAATGGAGAACAGCAGTTTAAATGAACAGTTAATTTGCTCGCGCAATAAACAGTTTAACTTGCACGTGCAATAAAATTCCGTTCGATTTAAAACTTAAAATTTAAGAAACTTTTAAGAAAAATCAATATTCTAAAATGTCGTTAGAGAACTTATCAAAAAATTATAATGAAACTGAAGGAGAAAGAAAAAATTCAAATGTGTTTTGGTCTGGTGATTTTGGATACACTAAAGATAAACTTTATAAAGACAAACTGCATCTTAAGTGTCGTTTTTTTACAAGAATGAACAGCTTTTATTCGTGAAGATAAACTTCAGGTTACAACTGTTCACAGTTGCAGTTCAAGAGAAACAGACTTTGAAGTGCTGCTTGCTAAAAGTACCATGAAGAAAAAAGCAGAAGCAACATCTGAAAACCTGCGCTTAATTTTTTAAAACACTTTGAGTGAGTTTCCTGCAGTTGTTTTTGAATCTTTTTTGTCAAATTATCCCAAGTCTTCAGAAAAGCAGAAGGCTAAATGAGTCTTCAAACCCAAAATCACCTAATGAAGCTGCTAAAGTTCTGAACGACAAAGAGTGCCATCGCTATGGAGACATTTTCTTGGGATCAGTTGCAGAACAGGACAACGTAGCATTGCTGTTTGGGCATATGCTAGTCATCAACAAGGCGAAATCGGCCAAAGTGTGTTTTGTTGATGGAACATTTAGGTATTTATACGTATGCATTTAACTTTTTCAAAAAAATATATGTTCTAGAAGAACATATGTTTATCTAGGGGGCTGTCCATTAATTACATCAACAAACTTTTAGCTATTTTTACATTACCCCCTCCCCCATGTCAACAATTTGTTAAATTTCCAGAGATACTTCTATAAAGTTCCCCTATAAAGTTACGTCAATTTTTGATAACCCTTCTCCCCTAAATAAAGACGCTGCGCTAAAAACGCAGGCAAATTTTTCTTTTTTTGAGTAACGAAATTAAAAAAATAAAGCAACATTGTTGATGTCAACTTTATTCGACCTCCTCCCCTCACCCTTAGCAAAAATTTTAAAAAAAATTTAGACACCTTCTTCCTTATTTTTTTAACGTTATTAATGGACAGCCCGTAGACGAAAAAAGTGATATATTAAAAACGTTAGGTAGAACACTTTTATTTACAGTTGTAAATTATAGTTACATTTATTTTACTTCCAGCATGACACCACGCATGGAGGAAAGTAAGTGGTATCAGCTCTTGATATTTTCTGTTGAGTATTCAGCAGTACTTGAAGATCCAATTCCAGATGAGGATCAGATGAATTTTGAT